TAACAGGCACATAAGGCATCCTTCCTAGATCATTAGTCCTAAACTAGCATGCAATTCTCATAAAGCTGATACACATATAATAGGCACATAAGGCATCCTTCCTAGATCCTTAGTCCTAATCTAGAATGCAGTTCTCATAAACATGTCATAACATAAACTTGTATGGGTAATTTGGGAGTACTTACTTGAGCTCGACTGATTGAATGCACCACACCCTTTTTCTCTTTTCAAAGTTCTTTTCTCTTATCAAAATCCTTTTTGTAAAAATGATTTTCCTTTGAAAATTTTTATACCATGTCCTTAGTTTGAGTTCAGACACACCCGAGAGTGTGCCCGAATCCATCAAACCAAGGCTCTGATACCAACTTGAAACATCCCAAAAATATAGCCTAAAAATTTCGTTTTTAAAATCATTTAAGAAAACCATAATTCATCAAACATCACAATAAAGATCATGAGTCATGTATCTCAAATCATCATAACAAAATACTGTATCAAATTCATGTGTCAAAATATCAGAGTATAAACATCCCAGGCTGAACAAATGGTATGTGCACTGCAATCATCCCGAGCTCTTCCCCCTTGCTACCGAAAGTACCTGAAACCAAAACTGAAAACTGTAAGCACGAAGCTTAGTGAGTCTCCCAAAACTACCACATACCATACACATGTCACATAAACATAATCGTGGGCCTCGTCCTCCTACATCAGACCCCGCCCGACATCGGGCCCCGCCCGGCATCGAGCAAAGCTCGGCATACACAGGATCATATCAACTATTACATAAACATAATCACATAACCACAAACATATAAACATAACATTGGTCCTTGCCCGCTACATCGGGCCCCGCCCGGCATCGGCTTGCCCTACATCGAGCCCCGCCCAGCATTCGGCCGCATCGGGCATCGGGCCCCGCCCGACATCGGACCAAAGTCCGGTATACATATAACATATCATCAAGCATATAACATACACATAACATAAACATAACTTGGGCCTAGCCCACTACATCGGGCCCCGACCGGCATCGAACAAAGCTCGGTATACATAAGCATATCAACATATACATATAAACATAAATACATAGCATAAACATATAAGCATTCCTCGGGCCCCACTAGGCATCGGTACGACATCCGGAAACATACTAACATTCCTCGGGAACCGCCCCGACATTGGACCGAATTCTGGAAACATACAAATACAAACACATGCAAGAATCACAAAGACATCAAGCATACAAGTATTCCTCGGGACCGCCCCGACATCGGATCGAAACCCGGAAAAGCATATAAACCTACATTGGGCCCCGCGAGGCATCGGACCGTAGTCCGGAACTACTACTAACTAAATGGGCTGGCCTTCGTGCCTTAGACCCTTCCCTACTGGAGGAAACTCACCTCGTACTGCTGAACTACCGCAGACAAAACCCTAGCTGCTGGATGACAGATTCCCGAACTGTCAACATCAAAACAACACCCAATTAATAATTGGGTTCCAATACATAACCATAAGTCCATGCTTGGGGTAAAAGACTACTTTACCCCCATCTTAGCTTGATTCAAGCTCAATGCCCAATCCAAAAGCCCAAATTCATACTCTGAAGGCCCAAAAGTCAAATAATCACCCAAAGCCCAACATATGGCCCAATTTTCCAAATTGGGCCCAAACCCCTACATGGTCTTACCTTAAGGCACAACCATTTATTCTGGTCCAAACACTTGGCAATACAATGGTCCAATATCTCATAATCATCAAGGCCCAGTTATGGCCCATCTATGGCCCAATTTTGCCAATTGGGCCCTAGCCTATCCAGTGAGCCTTATCCTAAAGCCCAATCTAAATATTCTAGTCCATATAATTGTTCTTGGATGGCCCATCAATAGTCCAAACATCTAGGCCCAACAGAAAAGGCCCAACTCAAACCCAACACAAATTGGGTTTTCACAGGAAATGACGATTAGGGTTAAGTGATTTTTACTTAACCCATTAAGGACTTAATCCATTAAGTCCATCAATCTATTAGGTCAATCATGTAGTATGGTCGGCTTAATTCCTAATCCCAATCCGGTCATCCAAAATGCGGGTCCCGACAATCCATAACCCATATATCCAAAATTAGGGTTTTCTAAACCCTAATTAGGGTTTCTGTAACGATCCAATTTTTGCAAAGAAAATTTTCATTTTTGAATACTTAAACACATTTCCAATATCAAAAAATCCAGTTATAATTGTTTTCAAAACATAATTCAGATACAACTTTTATCCCAAGCATCAGAGTGTCCCACAAAAGTACGAGAGAGTGCACGCCGCGCCATTAAGCTTTGCCCTTGCCCTTGGTCTCCGATGTACTTGAAACAAATCCACAAATTGTAAGCTAGTGCTTAGTGAGTTCCCCCATAGCATACCCCAAGCATAAATCACATAGCACATATCATAACGGCCATAAAGACTACCTCTACCACATACCACATAACATCTTAGCTATAAAGCTATCTCTACCATTAGCCATAATAGCTATCTCTACCGTTAGCTGTAAAAGCTATCTCTACCAATAGCCATAAAGGCTATCTCTACCGTTAGCTATAAAAGTTATCTCTACCATAACGATGAAGGCTATCTCTACCGCATATTATGACAAAATCATGCCACACACCTCTACAGAACGAGTATACCAACTAGTATGAAATGGGCCGGCCTTGGTGCCTTAGACCCATTGGTATGGTGAGAAGACTTACCTCTCAAAGGCTGAACTGGCAAACTGAATTCAAATATATCCCACGCTGCTCCTCCCAAACTGCCTATAGTCAATGAGTAAATAACTCAGCATAATCCCATAAATACCCTTAGGGTCAACCCTGGTCAAAGTAAAGGTCTATAATCCATGCTGACCCTGACTCGTCGAGTGTAACCTGACACTCGTCGAGTTCCTTGATGTTCACGGCTGTGAACTCCCAACCGGAAACCCATGACCGTGAACCCTTGCCCATGAACCCTTGACCGTGAACCCTTGACCGTGAATGAGAAAACGCTTCCCGACTCGCCGAGTCACTTTCACAACTCGCCGATTTCCCCTAGTCCAACATGTTTACGGTCCTTTCCAGTGGGACTTAAGGTCCCAAACTTCAGATCTATCTTCTTCTAGGGCAGATGTCACGTAAAGTTGCAAACTTTACGTGCATGCATGGCCTCACATGGCCATAACATCAAAACTAACCTTCAAATAAGGTTTTCATGCATGGAGAGGGGATAAGCTTATAAAAAGATGCAACTTTATGCTATTTGGGACCCAAGAAGGTCTAGATCTGGAACCATATAACTGTGATAGGTCCAGATCCAAGCTTGATTCTATTTTCCCTCAATAATGACCATAATCATCCAAATGGAGATCTAAGACTTCAAGGCTTAAGATGACAAATTAATACCTCAGTAAAGTGCCCAAAACGAAGTAGATGCTGGATCTGATGTTTCTCCCTTGATCCTTCTTCCTCCAACTTGAAATCCTTCCCAAGATTCACCAATTTATCTCACCAAGGCTCTCACTTCTCTCACAAGAGGGTTTGCGGCCGTGAACAGTTCCTAGGGTGCAAATGGGAGGCTATGGAGGCTGTTAATGATGTTTATATAGGGGGAAAACCCTAAAGTTAGGGTTTTCATTAAATAGCCCCGACTAGCCGAGTCGGGCCTTCCGACTCGGCGAGTCACTTCCGTCTTGCGTCCATGATACACGACCCTACTCGATGAGTTGGACTCTCAACTCGCTGAGTCCATGCATATAATCTCCCCAATTGGCAAATTTCCAACCAATACCCGAAACAGGCATTACAGTTTCCAACCCAATAGGCCCAAAAGCTAACTCTTTAGATCAATTAGGGTTTCATTAGGCCCACTAGGGTTTCATAAGTCGGGCATCACCCACTACCACCTCGGGTAGTGGTGGTCAACGACGACCACTACTAGAAAAATAGCCTTTTACGACGCGCAATGCGTGTCGTAAAACGCTCAGACGACGCGTAAATGCGTGTCAAGGAAGGCCCTATCATAACGAGAGACGACGCGCATTTGCGCGTCGTCTATTTACGATGCGCATTTACGGAGCTCATTTAGGACACACAGTTACGACACGCAGTAATGACATGCAATGCGTATCAAGGAAGGCCCTGTCATAAAGGAAGACGACACGCATTTGCGTGTCGTAACCTTACGACGCACCTGTTTATGACACACAATGCGTATCAAGGAAGCCCCTGTCATAAATGAAGATGACACGCATTTGCGTGTCATAAACTTCAGTAACCATTTACGATATGCATTTACGACGCGTCTTTACGATACTCATTTACGCATAATACAAAAATACGTAAACAAATATATACCAAAACAATCAATTTCATCCAATAACATCATGTCAAAAAATTGTAATACATTGATATTAAGGGGATCTAATTGTATATTGTTATTAAGAGGTTTTACCTAACTATATAACCTAATACTACATTGCTATTAAGGGACACCTTCTGCAATGTAATGCTATACAAACTAAAAAGATATACACAAAGAGGATAAACATCAAATTCCAACTAAGTACAGTTGCATCTTGCCTTTCATAATTCTTTAAGACTAATGAACCCCTGCTCCGATAATTCTTGTGACCTGATCAAATAAAAGTTAAAAAAATTAATATGCTAATGTAATTATTAGAAGAATCAAACATGGAATGTTAGTTGTAAAAACAAAATTACCCTTTTCTCCATCCAAAGAATGTGGGATTTGGAATAAATACACTACAATATGAATTACCTGATATCAACAATGACCATCACAAATGTTGGACAAGTTATACGACACATCTAATGATTTAAGCGTAATCCAGCAAAACCTTCTATCTCAAACTAGTAGAGGCAATCATAAGACATTATCTCTTTTATTTTAAGCGATAATTCAAACAAATAAGTTAGAAGATGGAGATAATTATTTACAGTTATTGGTGATTCAAATCACATAGGTGCACAGAAGAGAAGAGCAGCAAGTACCTCTAGACTGGCCAAGTGAAAAGGCTGATAGCAAACATTGGCCCTTAACTGCCCCTTTTGAAGAGAAAATGACAACATGTTCCCAATTGCATTCTCCTCACCAATGGATCCAATCACTTCAACTGCAAGACTTTCATCCGGCCTGCTAGTTGCATCCAACTGCCTTCAATTAATAGATTTAATTTAATTTAACCAAATTAATTAGCATATAAAAATTTGTAACCTTATTTATATGAAACATAACATGTGGACCGTATTAATTCCTTTTTTTAATCATTTTTTTATTTGAACACTTGTTTTCATTTAATAAATAGAATAGGAAGATTAGTATGAAAACAGAAAATAGAAGGATATTTGAATTCTCCTCTTTAAATATCAAGGAATTTCAAATTCATATTTGAAAAAAAAAAGCGAAGCTAACTTCACAAAAATATGAAGGAATTTGACTCGAATGAATAGAAAACTAATTTAGAATATTAAAAAATTTTAAAAAGATAATCATATAAAATATTATGTTTTCATATCAAAAGATGATCATTGGTGATGATCATTCCGACCATACAGCTATGCATAAGGCCTCTTGGTAAAAAAGACAAAATTAACCCGAGTTGACCAGGATAGTGGGTCCCTTGCTGAAAATGAACATTATAAAGAACATAAATTTTTGTTGTTTGGATGTATTCATTATAGAAATTAGTTGTTATGTTTGAACTTAAATTCACCTGTTCCATGTAAATGTTGACTCAAGTTTCTCTTTTCAATGAACTCATACACCAAAGAAAAGGAGCCCTCCACACAATACCCTATTAAACGCACCTGCAAAATATAAAGTCAAAAGTTAAAAAAATATGGTCAACTCAAAATCTTGATAAACATATTTATCAATTGAAATACTGCATACCAGGTTTAGATGATGAACATGTGTTAAGACCTTTAATTCGGCTAAAAATTCTCTTGATGCTTGCATATGCATCTTCTTGATAACAGCTTTTTGAAAAAGTTTGCAATAAGGAATTTAAAAAAAAAGTAACAAATAATACTGGATGAATGTATAGACAAAAGTGAAAAGTCTGTTTCTTGTTTCTTTTTTTGGACTAAAAAAGAACTGTTTGAATACGAGCAAATGACCGTTTTACCCTTTTATTTATTTACTGTAAATTTAACAAAAACGGACCTCAACATTGAAGAGTTGTACCCATTAAGTCATTAAGTGAGAAAGAAACAACCACTTAATACACGTGTTGAATATCAACATCATCATAATTCGTGTAAGATTAAAGTCAGGCTAAATGCAAGAATTAACAGATAAAATAATATAATTATATCTAAAACTAATATTCCAAACCTCGCCTCTGAGTTTTGCAATAATAAACAGCACCAAAACCACCTGACCAATCTTATTAGCAAGACTAAATTCATCTGTAGCCTTTGAAAGCTCTTCATATGAAAACTCCACTGATTTTTCAACTGTTATCCCTGTAAGCCCAGGTGAGGCACCAACAGGATGACCACTGGAATTTGAACCTCCAATTGAAGTGCCACCTGACCCTAAGTTTGAAAAAGAACACAAATCAACAAATAAATACACATTATATCAATAGAAATGGAGATGAATTTTGTAATAAATACCTCGAGGAGACTGCATAAGTTGAACTTGTGCATTCTTTAACAAAGTTGGATTATTTTCTGAATTCTTTTTTCTGTAAAATCCATAATATAAGCAACCTGCAAGTAACATCACCCCAGCTACTACTGCTATAGCTATTCCACCTATGGCTCCCCCTGATAATCCTGTTTATGTGAATGTAGATTGTTGCTTCATAACTTCAAAACTTACATTTTATTCAAGAAAATATGGAAAAAAGGCCATGAAAAATTGGGTCACCTGAGCTGCAAAAGATAAATACATGTGAATTAAAACTCACCTAAAATAAATAAATAAAATTCTTATATCCATAAACCCATCACTTTACTTTTCAACCCATAAAAATTTATACAAATCTTACCCTGTGGGCAGTTTGAACATATGGAGACTTTCTTGAAAGAGCAACCTGTCCCATAAGGCAAAAAAACAAAATCAATATCATAATTAAAAAAGAATATTTGGTTGTAAATTGTAATAGCTTAGTAGGAAACATTACATAACTGAATGCTAGCAGGACCTGTTTATCGGAAAAACATTGCTTGAGCTAAAAACTATGTCCACCTATTACAAAGTTAGTGGATATGAGTTTAGGAGATTTGAGAAAAGGGGTGGTGTATATAGGGAATACCTGTTTAACAAGGGTATCAATGTGAGGTATTTGAATATCACTCAAAGACTTCTTTGCAATGCCATTTTGTGATGGAGGTAACTCTTTCTTGGATTGACCTTTCATGATTCCATTATATCTTTCAGAACCATCAAACTTTCAGATTCAGTTGGAGGTGCAGTAGCTGTGGTGGATTAAGATTGAGGTGCATATTGTGCACTAAACAGATCCAGACCATGGAACTTTCAAGATTCAGATGAAGCTGCAGATGTGATGCCAAAAGAACTTGTTTTCTAAAATAACACAGATTAAGAGAAAATCAGAATTTCTAAATATATAATATAGAAATATAATACACACAACAATTTATAACCAGATTAGATTCTCATTTAGCCTTTGGACTGTAGACTCGAGCATTAGCATTGGCCACCTCATTAGCAAACCTGTCCTCTTAAATATTCTTCATATTGATAATCATAGTTTCTTTTAGTTAATCCAGAGCTTTTTTAGAAAATCGATTCCATGGTGGAATCAGAGACGTTTCCTTGTCCATCTCCTTCAATGCCTAGAGTGATCATACCTCAGCTTCAATAACATGCCAAATAGAGTTTCTGCTTTGGTTGTCAAACCTACATCAACAAAAAAGAAAGATGTCAAACTTAATAACTAAGGGTATCCTTAATAAAAACAAAATACATTTCACCATCTTTGATGAGATTGTTAACAAGTTGACTAGCTGCTAACCAGCCATCACTAATAAACATTGATGTATTAGTAAAATTGAACCTAAATTCCAAGTCTTGTAGTTCAATTATCTTGTTCTCGAGTGCTTTTGTGACAACTCGAAATTTCTATCTGGTACAACCATTCACCTCATTAAAAGTCAGATTTGTTTTTGCTAACTTTTAAGCTGTTTGGAGTCATTTTGAGTGTTCTAAAGCCTAATACTTCAAGAGGTAAATATAGGAAGTATACTTTAGAGTTTGTTGTGCATCATTTATGTCTTAAAAGTCCAAGAGTTTGGAGTTTACGACCCCAAACATGGAGTTTACGGCCGTAAACTCTAAAGAGTATAAATATGACACTTAGTCATTTTTGGCTCATTCTTCACCTTCCAAGCTCAAGAACACCCACATTCTCTCTCAAGTATCATAAGATCTTCTTCCAAATCTTTAAAAAATGTAAGTGTTTCTTCTCTTGATTTGTTGATACAACACTCCATCTAGTAGTTATACATGATTTCATCCATGAAATCTTCTCTTTTTCATAGATCTTCAAGTGTTCTTCATTTCACCAAGAACACCAAGAACACACACTAGTGTTCTTGGACCTTAAACACTCTTACAAGCTTCCTATAAGTAAGTACACCCCTCTCTACTAGTTATGTTCTTAGATTACTTGTTAAGCCATTGAAAAACACCAAGAATCCCTAAGAACACATGGGTTTACGGCCAAGACAATCTCCTTGGACCGTAAACACCATTAGGTGGTGCAGGTGTGCCACCATTACTTAATAGGGCTTGGATATTGGAGTAGAACCTTGCATGCATGAGCTAAGGACCTTAAACCACGAAATGATAGGAGCTACCAGGGGTTTACGGCCGTAAACCCACTAGGGCCGTAAACCCTAGGTCGTAAACTCAATGGGAATTGGTCCTTAGGCCGTAAACACTAATAAGGGGGCCATTATGAGCCCTAGTCCCTTCTAGACCCTTGGAAACAAGCCTAGATCACTTGAATGAGGAGTATAGGACCTTCAACATCAACATGGTAGAAGTTACCATGGGTTTACGGCCGTAAACCCATTAGGGCCGCAAACCCTAGGCCATAAACTCATGGAGAGTTTACTCTTGGACCGCAAACTCAAAAGCAAATCCCTACAACCCTTAGATACAACCCTTTTGTACTTCTAACACTTGAATCAAAGTGTTTCCCATGTCCTAGGGTGTCTTTGCTTGCATAATTAGTTGCTTAAACACTAATTAGATACGTATATGTGTCATTATATGTTACATAGGATCCGTGTGTGCTCAAGTCTTCACTTGACACTTAATATCCTATCCGACACTTTCATCCAAACCACTCACCACAGGTGAGTTCATACCCCTTAATCAACGTTTGAAATGATTTTAAATGCTTTAATGGGGGGGGGGGAATACAAGTTGAACTATTAAGTTATTATATCAATCACATGTGATTAATAACTGTCAATCAAATAGATTTTTGCATGTTAAATTGTTTTATTCAGCTAAATGTTTTCATATATTACTTTCAAATCTCTTTTAAAGTACTATACTCTCTTTTTAAATTACTAAACTTTTATCAAAGTCTTTTAAACTTATATTCTTGTTAGATTCATGTCTATATAGATATAGTTATATAAGTAGGGTTTGAAGGACTTAGGACTGATAGTTCGCTTTATTTCATGTTCCTTGTTTGGTTGTGGACTTAGAGTATCCGGTTATTTGTCCGAGTGTCGTTGAAGTCTTAGTTATATATTATGTATATCTGTTTAGATATTAAAACTCTTACTCCAGTTCATCGCCTTTGGGTAGCAAAGGTACCTAGATAACCTCTCAAGTAAACTATAATAGGTATAGTTTAAAAATCAACAATAACTTTTATGAGGAGAAACTAGCTATATCAATATTCTAAAACATGTACTTTTAGTAAAAAGAAACGTATATAGCAATCAAAACATGAGATGCATCCTCATGATGTGGATTTCACCATTGTCGAGTTGGTAACTAGAGTCTCCTGGAGGGAGAGCGGGCATTGTGTGTATAGATCTATATGGGACAGACCATCCCACATCCTGACTGCTAGCTACAGTCCGGCCGACCAAGCCAAGGGGTGACAAATGTCACATTTACTTCGACGCCAGCAGGTCGTCGTGTTTACATCCGTCAATCAGTATGGTTACGAGTATTTTCACATTTACCTTATAATTCATGGCCTTAAGGTAAGTAGTACCACAGTAGTTCTACATATAAAAACTGTTGAGTCTAATTGTGTTGCGTCATGGGCTTATCTTTTGTATCCGGATTGGGCCTGTCCATCCGTGATTAGCTAGTAGGGTTAGACTATAAATAATGCTTGCATGTATGCATTAAAAGGTTAACGTTTGTGATTATTATCGTAATTGTCTTGTAACCCTAAACACCTCTACAGTCGAAGTTCTTAATCGATCTCTTCTGAGGTGTTGAAGCATTAATCATACGACACATTCAAAGTCATTCTTGTGCTCATAATTATGTTCTTAATTGTTTGTCTGCTTAGAATCTATCGATCCTAATTGAACATTGGTTCAACAATTGGTATCAGAGCAGGAGACTGTGTGATCAATACACATTCCTTCTGTATTCAGAATTCGTTAGGGTTTCCGCTTTTATCGAATAAATAGAAGCCGTCTTCTTCTTAACGACGGCAACTCTGTTTCAGATAAAACCCTAATCTCAACTTTACAGATCTGATTCTAGCAGCTCACCGTGTCTCATGAAGATTCGCAAACAAATCCCATAAACATCTCAAACAGCATTGGATCCACTACCAGGATTCCCATTCTTTACACTCAAGACTATGAAGTATGGGCGCATCACTTTGAAGATTACGTGGTTGGATCTGAAGACAATGGCTATCTCATCTGGGAAGCTATCACGCTTGTGCCGTTTGTTCACTCAGGAACGAACACAACAGTTAAGTCCCAAAAGGAATATAACAAACTTGTGGCGGATGTAGAGAAGATGCCACAGGATGAGAAAGATAAGTTGCTGTGTAATGTGAAGGCCATGAGAATGATCAGATTCGCCTTGCAATCTGACACCTTTCGGTTGGTTGGTTCATGTACAACGGCCAAAGAAATCTGGGATAGGTTGAAAGAACTTTATTCAACCGATGAAGATCTAGAACACTCCATTCAAACCTTGCTGCTGTCAGAATTTGGAGTTTTCAAACAGAAACCAGAGGAAAAACTCATACAAAAATTTCGATCGGTTCAATCATCTCCTAAGTAAGATGATCAAGCATGGAATAGAAAGAAAATTGATCGAGCAAAAGGTAACCTTTATGAACGGTCTAAGACCAGAATGGATGGCTGTGGTTTCAACCGTGAAAGCACATGAATAGTTTAAATCTTACTCACTAGCGAAACTTGTGGGAATACTTAAGTCCCATGAGAGTGTTGTAACAAAAGAAGCGAAGGTAGTTTCTGGTGTGGGATCGCTGGCTCTTGTCTCAAAAGGAAAAAAGCATTGCAGAAGAAGAAGAAGAGTCTGATATGTCTGAGTGTGACCTTACAAGCGAGGAGTATGCTATGATGGTCACCAATCCAAAGAAGTTTGCACGAAGAAAATTTCCTGTCAACAAAAACCGAAACTGGCAGGGAAGTTACAGCTCCGAGAAGGTGAAGGATGAAGCGAAAAATTCTTCTCAAAAGGATGAAGACAAGAAGGAGAGCAATCTTGCAGGAGACTCTGGGTTCGACTGTAATTACTATCAAGGCAAGAACCACTTTGCTAAAGATTGCATGCTAAGGAAAATAGCCGAGAAAAGAGATGGTGAAGACGATGAGGCATACTACATGCGCAAGTTGAAATATATCAAGAAAAAGAAGGCGTCTAACAGTTCTATGAATGCCTTGATTGTGCAGGAGAATGCAAACGAAGATGAGTTCGGTGGCGTTGAAGTTTGGTCAACCGATTTTGAAGATGAAGAGGTGAGAAAGCCCACTCATGGAAGGGCTTATGTGGCAAAGGATGTAGGTTCGGCTGGAAGATGTTTGATGGTCACGGGCTGGGGCATCAACCGAAAGTGCAAGAGAGGAACCGAACCTGACTGAGGACAAATGCTTTGCAGCCAAGCCCGTGAGCGAGAAGATCAACGACTGTGATCGGCTGATCAAAAAGGTACAATCCATCCTTGAATCACTTAAAGTTCCAGTAATAGATTATGAAGAAGAATTAATTGAATTAAAATTTAAATTTTCTAACTTAAGTGGTAGTCTCATGCCAAATCGCTCAGCGAATTCTAACCTAACTGACCAACTCAGCAGGGTGTCTTCAAAAAGTGAGGAGAGAAGGATGTGGATTGAGCTAAAGGAGGCGGAATTAAATAGGGCTAGAGATGAA